AAAGTATCTGCTACTAATAACACAGGTGTCATCATACTGCTACAATAATATACAAAAATTACTTGAGTAAGTCACTATTCAAAAGTAATTGAATCCCTGTGTCTCTCTGATTTATTTTACTTGTTTCCTCCAATGCTTAATAGTTTCTGTTTCTGTTTGTGTAATCACTCTTCTACCATGTTATCAGTGGTTTTAAAAATTTCTAATTTGTTTGGTTACAACATTTTTCTGCATTTTCAGTATTTCTGGTGCTGCCTGTTGTCAGAAAACTACAGTTAGTTCTCTAGCTAGTTGTAGATCTTTCCTATTGCTACGGTAAACCACTACTATGCCCACTGGAAGACTTGCACTTTCTCATTACTTGAGCAAGTTTTCATCAGTCATTTTCCTTAACTCTCAAAAGTGCTTTCCTACGATATTATTTTAGATTTCCCCTTTTCAATTTTTTGGTACACCTTTTTCAATGACTTTTTTTATTCCAAATGTCTGTGAAAATTTGGACTGCTGATTTGCCAAATGACTAATCTAATTTAACTTTTACTTTTTAAACATCCTTTTAACAGCTTTGCCCTTTCTAATATGCCAGTTGGATATAATAAGATTTGAAATAGTAAGTAGACTGACCCACTTTTTTCTGGATATTACTGCAATTATTTTGAATTAAACTTAAGTAAACGCTACTTCCAATCCAACACAATAGCATCAGCTGAAATAGAAATTATCTTATCAACAGTATAATATCTCAGATTTAGCAATTTAGTTAAATATTTAAGCTCTGCAAATATCTTGCATATCTAACCACTGAAACTCCACTTCTTGCAATAAGAGTTATAAAACTGGTCATATTTGCTATGAATTTAAATGAATGAGTAATCATCTAAAAAAATCTTTATTTCATTCTGTGGACAATGTATTCCAACAATAGCTTCAGTTTTCTTTCATCAAATTTCATATTATGAGCAATGAGAATGTAGTCCAGATTTATTTCTGTTGATCTTTTAAAATTTGCTACGTTTGATTTCAGATTTCTGTAAATTTGTTCAGAATTTGTTTATCATGCTCTATATTGATCTCAGTTTCTTTAAAAAAATTGCTGTATTCTTTGATAAACTTCAAAAGCTCATGAAATATCATGTCAATATGTTAAAGTATACTTTAGCAAAGTAGATAAAGAAAAGTATTTTCTCAAAATTATCCTTATTCAGATTCTTTCAACTGAACTAATTTGTTCGCTATTTGATTTTTCCACATTCTACATTTCCTACAGGATTAACCTGTTGGTTCTTCAACTTGTGCTACTGTACCCAGCATTTTCATCTGTTTGAGTTCTCATTATACCTTGGCTTTTAACATTAAGACATGTCTTCCAACCAGCACAAATAGCCTATGGATTTCATTTAGTAGACTAGTAACCTGTGTAAACAACCCCGTACTTGAAATGCAGTTCATTTCTAATATGGTCTTCATACCTAAAATCTCATTTGCAACACAAATTGTTAGCTATAAAGACCAGTGATTTTTTTTTCTCTTTATTTGCAAATAATCTCACATCTTCCCACATATTTAATTCCTGCCCAAAGTAAATAAGCAATCTTGCATTTGATTTTCTCCGAAAGATTTACTTTACAATTTAATTTACAAATTGCATGAACTTTTATAAACAAGATGTTGTGTATCTAAATAGTATCTCTTTTAAAGCTTTTACTTTACAATGATTCACGTTCAATTAAACTAATCTGTCCAAATCATTTGAAAAATGAAAGTTGTAGTTCTTGGATACAGTTTCCTCCCTAATAATCATTTTTATAGTCCACTACATACAAATTTCTTTTATTTGCAACTTCTTGCCCCTTTTTTTGTTTTTTGTTTACTAATTTGCAACTTCTTACTCCTAGTTTTGCACTGAATGCTGTGTAGTGTCTGTAGAATGTTGCATAAGGTGAAGCTTCTATTCTGTCATTAGAGTATTACATATACTGACTTGAGTTCCTGATTTAAAAATCAGGATAGATACCTGATGAAAAAATAAAAATGATTAAGCTCTCACATTTTTTACAATCTTCTTCCATATTCCAAGCAAGCCCGAATACTACAAATAAATATTACACTGCTGAAGGTATACTTAGCTCCTGTTCTTAACAGTGGCATTTGAAGTTATTTAGCTTTTAGTTTGTTTCATTAACTTAATATCTATAGTATTAAGTTGTTTTTGTATAATAGATCTACTATTTTTTCTGTGCAGAAACATCTATTGTTTGTTTTTGTTTCCAGAGTTAAGTCTCACTCCCTGGGTAACTTGCTTGTGCTTTGCTATCCTGTTTCCGCCAACAAAATTCACAAATTTGTACTAATAACTTTTCAAACAAACACTCCAGGATTGTTTTTTTCCCCCCCTTCCTCTCGATGAAACCACATGAAATATGTATGCATTCCACACATAAATGTATGCATTCCATCTTTTTTTAGTCAATAACGTGCTTCAAATGTTAGGATAAAAATTTGCAACTTTTGTTTACTCAATCCCTTGTCAAACTGGAAATACTCAGTGGGTTTTTCCCCAGCAATACATAGAAACGTTTGAACTTTTCAGTCTTCTTATCTGTAACAACCACACCACACAAATCTTTGCTTTCATGTTTTCTGGGTTTCAGCAACACTATCTTCAAACACCAACTTACCTGCAGGCTTCAGCCAATCCAACCAGTACAGTATATCCCAACTATTTCTGTCTTTGTATTATGCTAAAAAGTCATGTCTGAGTAATATGAAAAGATTTCTTTAAATTGGCAGCAAAAACTTATTTAATAACATAGCCTTATTTATTCGTGCTATGAGAATTCTGCTGTTAGCGACACAAGTGTCATCAGTGTGCTAAAATAATTTACACATTATGTTTAATATTATTCAAAAGTAACCCAGTCATTATGGAGGGGGGTGTTTGCTTCATCTAAGCACTTTGAAGAGCTTGGTCAAGGCAAGGCATCCCTAATGTGTAAGTTTCTGCGTTGAATGAATCGGTTTAATATAATTTAGCTTTGTCCCTTTAATTGTTTTTTATGATAATATATTTAAGCTGAACTCCAAGAAGATCGATTAGTGCATTTATTTCATATAAATTGTTGTCTAGTCATCTGCAAATTACAATGTATTCTGCCCAATGCTAAAGGGGAACCAAAGGCGTTTTTTCGGTTTAACTGTCTGCTCTCACTTCTGGATTGTTCCAATATATAAAATGAGAAATAGAATTTCTACTGTTTAGTAGGTCTAGAGATTTATGCTATGTTGTTTCCCTTGCAAATAAATAGTTAAGGTTTGTATATTTAAAAAGATTCATACAAAATAAAAATGCACACAAAGTTGTTGACTTATATTAATAGAAAACAAATTGTATGTATTCCTATCCTAGCTATTATTTAAATCAATACTAACAGCTAGGACCATAAAAAGCTTGCTCCAGTATACAAGTCAGTTCTTCAGAATAGGTAGATAATGGGTGTCCTTCCTAATACTTTAGGATTAATTGGAACAATGAACCACAGCAATGTTTGGAAGGATAAATTGCATCTTCTCCAATTATTACAATATTACTCCTATGTAAGAATTGGAAATACTGTCTCTTTCAATATTTTTAATAATTTACATATTTGTGTATCTTATACATCTCTATCACATCTGAAGCTATAAAATTGTGTGTGTTAACATTACACAAAAGATCAACTTTCAAACAATGATTCCTCTTTGAATAACTTGTAGCTTAACTGTTGAAGCATCAAAAAGTATGTCATGTAAGAGAGTTGAAGATGGAGAAAGATACAGTTGTACTGTATTTAAAAATGAGAAGCAAATTCATTTAGAGGTAGCCCTTGAACTTACAACTGTAATTGAAACAGGAATTTCAGTCACTAAGTGATATAGTTGGTAAATGGGTCAACACGTGATCAGATCTGATTTTATTGCCATTTTTATCACGGTCATTAAGTGAATGACCTGGTTGAGTGAATCCAGGTTCCCCAATTGACTTTGCTTGTTGGAAGATGGCTGGGAAGATTGCACATTGCAATCATGTAAATGCTTGAGGTTGTGCCCATTTAAATGCAAGCCAATTGCCAAACGCCCAGATTGCAATCACATGACCCAAGGGGATGGTACAGTGGTTGTAAGTTTGAAAATGGGTCATAAGTCACTTTTTCAGGATCACTGTAATTTCAAGCGAAGATTGCATGAAATACTATTAGGCTTTTCCAGATACTATTCTTGTTCTCACAGTCTAGACAGTGTATTTGTCTGGATAAGAATGCTCTGAAGAAAAATCAGGTCTAGTTATATGGGAAAATAATGCTTAAATTAGCAAGCAATAATTTGAAAACAAAGCTCAGAACAAGAAAGGATATATCATCACTTTGATTAAGTAATATAAAACAAAATCTCACAATTATGCTGAAATCATGCAGCAATATGGAAGTGTCTGGTTACCAGATTTCTTGTAATATTGTTGATCCTCAAGAATGAAGTATTTGCTAATTATTCTTCTACGAAGCATTTTATTTGGATATTAATAGCAATAGCACATAGACTTATATACCGCTTCCCAATGCTTTACAGCCCTCTCTAAACGATTTACAGCATCACAGCATATTGTCCCCAACAAGCTGGCTCATCATTTTACCGACCTCGGAAGGATGGAAGGCTCACGCTGAGCCGGTGAGACTTAAACTGTTTGAACTGCTGGCAGCCAGCAGTCAGCAGAAGTCACCTTGCAGTACTGCATTCTAACCACTGCGTCGTCATGACTCTTAAGGTCCTGAATTAATCCCTGGTATCTCCAGTTAAAACTATTTTTCAGAGTCCTCTATTCCAAATTATGTATAAGGATGCTCAGATGAATTACATGCACATCATTTCCATTTGATGGAAAAGCAATGCATGCAATTGTCCTGGAGTTCTTTGACATCCTGTGTTTTCATTTAAATAGGTTGCTGACTTCTCTCTCTGTCTTCTAGAAATTCCGGGTCGATATGCCAGGATCGAGCAACACATTTATTCCTACTCTCAACGCGATAACCACCAGCCAAGACCTACAGTGGATGGTTCAGCCCACCGTGATAACCTCCATGCCAAGTGCCTACTCTCGCTCGCATCCCTACAGCCATGCATTGCCCAACCTGTCTTCAGTTACTGGACACACAGCCCTACAAAGGCCTGGTGTTATTAAAACCATTGGGACCACCGTGGGCAGGAGGAGAAGAGATGAGCAGGTAGCTCCCCTATTTAAAACAACTAGCAGAATGGACGGTATTGAATGTGACATTTCTAAGTCTGTGTTTCAAATGTTGGTGGCAACTGACAATAGATTTAGGCATTACCTGAATCTGGCTTGAAGGAATACTGACTTTAGTATAAGAAAGTCTCCACAAGCCATAGCTTAACTAGCTTACATTTTGACGGGAGACCTTGCATTGGTCCCAGGATTTTCCAGTGAAGGAATCTTGAATAAGAAAACTGGGAAGATTTGTAGTGTTAAGATAGAAAGTTGACACTAATCAGGACTGACAGCTTTCAGCAAGCTAAATGAGTAGCCCAATCTGATGTAATACCTCTGCCTAAGATTTCATTTGCATTAATGTTTTAATAGTGTCTCCTTCAGTGATAGTTTCACTGGAACATGTGGATTCCAAAAGCATTGGAAAGGTTCACTATCTCATTTTCATTGCAATTAAATTATTGGTTGTAACTCACGTGTAAGGCTTAAGATAATACAGAATGCCATTCTTTGTTGTCTGGTGGGCATCTACACAGGAACTTCTCAAGTCAAGGGAATCCAAGGCAGCAGCCCTGTATTTCTCTCTAATGGGTAGTTCCATCCTAAAAACATAAGGACCGTTCCCCTGGAAATGCCCAGATCATGCCAAGCAGTCCTTCCCACAGTAGCCAACTGTATTCCTCTGGATAATCCATAAGTAGGCAAGAGGTAATAGCAATCTCCTGCACTCCTGCTCTTCCTGAGCAACTAATTTAGAGATAAATATATATCTGAAGTTGAAGGTAACACATTACTCATTATGCTATGGCAAAATGTGGTTTCAATGCCTCTGGTTTAGTGTGTTGTGCAAACCCACCCATTATAACATAAGGATATGTACAGAAACCAGGCCGCAATGGCAAATTTAAACAATGTTTAAACTAAGGCCAGGTTTAGCATGATGGGTGAGTGCTCTCCTTACTATTACAGCTGGTCATTATCGAGAGCCAATGTGGTACAGCGACAAAGTCGCTGGACTAGACGTAAAGCAATTCATGTTGTAGTCAACTCTCAGCCGCAGAAGCTTATGTACTTACTTTCAGCCAGTTACTCCCTCTGAGACCAGCCTATTTCATAAACAATCTGTTGTGGGAAAAATAGGAGAAAACACTGTATCCCCTTGAGTTCTCGAATGAAAAGTAAGACAGAAATCAAATAAACGAACAGTGGTATTTTCCTTCATTGGTATACTTCCATTTTAAAGCCATTAAGGCTCAGGATCATTGTGATTTCTTTTCATTTTTGAATTCACACAATTCTCAGTACAGTTGATGGCTATGAGTGCTGCAGTTCAAAGAATCTGGAACACGAGTAGATCAGTTGGAGCATCACAATCAAAGCCCTGCTCCTTTGATTGCAACACTGAATCCATCTTCATATCTTGGCTTCCCCTGTCACCACCGTTGATCTGCCGTGGAACTGGCTGGACCTGACTTTGGCCATTCAGGCATAAGGAGAAGGATCAGAGAGTTAACAATGTAGCTGAGTATAGGCTAAAACCCAGTCCCTGGGCATGGGTGCCATTCAAGTCTTTTGCACTGGGGTCACGTTTCTTATTTCCAGTTTGTTGTTAGACTCAAAGAAGTTGGTAGAATTGGATGATTGACTAGAATAAGAAAACTTTGGGGTGGCTGAATTCCTTTTTCATTGCAACAGATGGCTAACAATGGTTAGGATACTGAAGTGGTTTTAAGATAACTGTTATCTCTACCACATGTACAGGTGGGAGGAGAGGGCAGAGAAGTTACTAGAAATCTGAGTTTATCTACAGTCCCTCCAAAAGCATTAATTCTCTTCTCTAGGCTGTGTATGGGCATAGTGAAACACTCCATGCCCTCCATGACATTTATCTCCTATTGCTTAAGGGCTGCCTGATGATGCAGGAAATGTAGGGTCTTATCTTAAAAAGTCAGAGGTAAGAAAGGAAAGAATGGAAAGGCAGCTCTTTTGATTTGATTAGGGTCATTCCAGTTTGTCCAGCCTCTCCTGGACCTTGGCTTCTGACCTTCCAGTTAATGACTGTTGTCCCAGGAAAAGAGGCACACAGATTTTTTTTTCCTAAGAAAGACAAACTTGCAACATCTTCCTATATTCTTACCTCACAAACCACCCACATTGCAAAACTACCGAGAGACTTCTATCTTTGCATTTAGCCTTAATTGCAGATTCATTGTTTTCTTGCTCAATCTTCCTGTGGTTTCTCCACTCCTGTGCTCTTCCCCCACCTTGCTATCACTTTTTCTTTCTCCTCAGTGGCTGGCTCCAGAGCTGTATTATATCAAAGCCCTGATAATATCTTGATGTGAGAAAGACTGTTTTCTCAGAGACCCTAGATCCATATGAGGGAGCCTCAGCTCTATTGCATTATTCAGCTAGTAGTAACATGATAGTTTTTGAAGCAACTTGGCTTATCTTCACCAGTCTTCAGGCCCTAATTGCTATCACCTTCCACGCTAGTATAGTGTTTGAGGTTAAGAGGTTGGACAACAACTGGGGAAGACCCAGGTTCAAGTACACCTTGAGTCATGGAAGTTCACTGGGTGACTTTGGGCCAATCACACATTCTCAGCTCAAATCACCTTACAGAATGGTGGTTGTGGGAAAAATGGAGGAGGGAAGATTGTGGATACATTGTCTTGAGCTCCTAAAGGGAAAGCAGAATATAAATCAGTTAAACAATAAATGAAAAGTAGAAATTAAACCATGGGTTCATCAGTTGGGTCACATTTCTTATTGATTCATTGCACAAACTACCAGCTTGAACGAATGTTTTGTTCATTTGTTTATCTACAGTTATCACCTGAAGAAGAAGAGAAGCGAAGAATTAGAAGAGAAAGGAACAAACTAGCAGCAGCGAAATGCCGTAACAGGCGCCGAGAGCTGACTGAGAAACTCCAGGCAGTATGTATTTTGCATAAATCTCCTCCTTTCTTGTTATGGCCTTTATTTTTGGTAAGATGAAATGAAGTCTTGTTGAATTGAGCTCAATACCCGGTGACTTCATGTTGTCATTTTCTTGAAAATAATATTGATGTAATTTCCCATTGATGTCTTTTGTTTTTGACTTTCCATTCTAACCTGTAGTCTGGGATTTCTGAATAGCCTCCTACCCAAGTGCTAAAATAGGCCTGTCTCTGTCCATGAAGCCAGATGACTTTGAAAATAGGGCATATAATATTCTGATTTTGTGGCTGCATGATACAAGATGATCTAACATCGTATTGATTTTTGTTGGGTATCAGGACATTTCTAAAACTCTGAAGACTTGCTGAACCACTGCTGATGTTGAGAGCTGCCCCATGGAGATTCTTGCCATGGATGGGTGGTTTTTGGTACATGGTGGGGAAAAAATTTTGATGGGAGGGAGAACAATTTTTGAAGAGCTAAACAGTTCTTCAAAAATTACATACCTGATACCTTTATTAGGGAATAGGGAAAGTGCTGGGAATTGGTTAACAAAAGAAGAGTAAAGTAATAAAGCTGAATATGTATGAATAATGAGCTACCAACTTTTACTCATTCTGCTTCTATCAGATAATCATACAAGTATGGTGAAGTAAACACTTGAAGGTGTTAAAAATCACCCAAAATACAGAAGAAGCAAATGCCTATACAATATTTCTTTCTGCTTTTCTTCATGACCAGCAAAAGAACTACAATTATCTCAAACCTGTTTGGATAACTATCTTTTTGGAGATCATATTTTTGCTGTAAGAATGCATTTATGCTCAGTTACAGGTAAATCATGATTGCACCTTTACTTGTAAGGCAAATGAGAGCATTAATCTTGCAATCATTCCAGTTTTTTAATCTGTTAAATGATTCAAATTTATCAAAGCAGCCAGTAGGTGTACATGGACAACATCCAGTCCTTGATAGATTCTTATGGTGACAAGTACTTTATTGTAGCTAAACAAGGTAAATTTTGGGAAGGAGCTTAAATTTTGAGCCTGAATATCAGTGTAGTGAATTTTTGTCAGAAAAGGTTTTGTGTTTTGGGTGTTTCAAGCCTGCTTTCAGATCTCTAGTCATCCTTTAAATGTCCAGCCATCAGTCCTTAGGCCAGGAGTCTCCAAACTTGGCAACTTTAAGACTTGTGGACTTCAACTCCCAGAATTGCCCAGCCAGCATGACTAGCTGAAGAATTCTGGGAGTTGAAGTCCACAAATCTTAAAGTTGCCAAGTTTGGAAACCTCTGCCTTAGGCAGTTAACAGAATCACTCAGAGGACCTAGTCTATCCCCCTTACAGCTGCCAATACATATTCTGCTACAGTTGGTTAAAGTGAAGTGAGGCCTCCTTATCTTGCAACCCCTTCTTGGAATGCTAATTGCTGTTCTTCTTGCTGACTTTCTCTTTATCTGGGATCTACAGGAAACAGAGGAGCTGGAGGAGGAAAAATCAGTGCTGCAAAAGGAGATTGCTGAACTAGAGAAGGAGAAGGAGAAGCTGAAATTCATGTTAATGGCTCACAGCCCCATGTGCAAGATCAGCCCCGAGGGGCATCGAACCCCTCCACCTCATAACCTCCAGGCCCTGAGGACTGGAATGAGTGGTCCTGTGGTGGTGAAACAAGAGCCTATGGAGGAAGAGATCCCCTCTTCCTCTTCAGATCCCGAAAAAGGGCAAAGATCTGTCATTAAGCCCATCAGCATTGTTGGGGGGTTTTATGGAGAAGAGCCACTCAACACACCTATTGTAGTGACTTCGACTCCTGCTGTTACCCCTGGAACATCCAACTTGGTCTTCACCTATCCCAGCGTGCTGGACCAGGATTCCCCACTCTCCCCCTCAGAATCCTGTTCCAAAGCTCACCGGAGGAGCAGCAGCAGCGGGGATCAGTCCTCTGATTCCTTGAACTCTCCAACTCTACTGGCGCTGTAACCCTTTAGCCACCACTCCACCCAGTTACTGTTGTGGGGGGGAACCCCCCACCTCAAGACCAGAGACAGCACAATGGCATTCGAGCACAAGGCCAACAAGAGCCAGGAAAGGAAATGATGTTGCTCCAGATATTTCCTTAGACAGGAAGACTAGAACAAATGAAAGCTGTATCAGTCTGGAGTTGGTAAGCAGCAGTCACAATCCCAGGACCCGACGATGAGGGGTTTTCCCTCACTCACCAATGACTGCAGTGGATGTGACCGTCCATCAATTGCTAGCCATTTTCCTGTTAGGTTGATGAATGGACCGTCTGACCTGGCTCCTTCTCCTGCGCTAAGCAGTACATTCCAGTTAGTTGATCTCATTTGGGCCTTAACATTTTCTTGATTTTTGTTGGATACCATGACATTTCGAAAACTCTAAAGGCTTGCTGAACCACTGCTGATATTGAGAGCTGCCTCCTGGGAATTTTTGCCATATTTGGGTGGCTTTTGGCACATGGTGGAAGTTTTGGGGGGAGAAGGGAAATTTATTACAGGTCCAAATGGTTCTTCAAAAGTTACACATCCAGTGTCTTCATTAGGGAATGGGGAAAATGATGGGGAAACTGGTTAACAAAAAGACAAGAGTCTCCTTGAAGACAATAGGGAACCGTGCACTGTTTGTGTCTACAAAGGCTGTATCTGCAACATACCTTCGTCAGTGGGCCAGGAGTGGTGCCAAGGGAGCTGGGGAAATGCCAGAGTGGGTTTCCACTAAGCCTTTATTTCTGGCATGATGTCTTCTGTAATTAGTGTTTGTCAAATCTGTTGCAGGACCCTGTGTTTTCTTTCCTTTTGGCTGCCAGCCACTTTGGGTGTGATGCAGCTTCCTCTGAAGTATGCCTGAATCACATGCTGGTGCTGTTTCTCAAACAGAGCTACCAGCTTCCAGGTTGCAGGCGGTTGCCCTTGCCCAGTGCTGCCATTCTTCTTGTGGCTGATCAGGGAAGGGGATTAATTTGAGGGAGAATGTGCAAGAAGCTCCCTGGAAGAAATCCCCACACCCCACCCCTTTGGCTAAATTTCAGTCATCGGGACCTGGCCAGGGTTATGTGTATTGCCATCTGATGGTGTCAGGCCAAATCAGTCCTTTTCCTAGTCCTAGAGACATCTGAAGAAAAATGGATTCTGCACTTTGCCTCCCGCTGCACTTGGTTTCCAACTCTTAACTACATATGACTGATAAAAACAAAATCTGTGCTCACTACTGAAAAAGGCAGCATGTTTCACTTATGTACATCCCCTGTAGTGCCAAGCATTAATGCAACTGTACATAAAGAGTGTGCCGATTTTAGCAGGGATACCCACAGATAACTTGGAGAGAGGTTTGTTGTATCTTCATCTGGAAGTAGACAGTTTTACTCTAAAACTTGTCCTTTACAAAATACATAAGATAACTCAAGTTAATGGTAAACATATTAACGACTGGGTCTGCTTTCATTTTCTTTTATGGAATATGTGGACGAGCTAGGCAAGGAAGCTGATAATTTTTTTACCCCGTTGTGCTCTTCAGAGATCAGCTTCTTGAGTATGGGCAGGATCTTCAAGCCATGTTAAGTCCAGCGGTGGGCATCTTTGCCTCTTCAAGATTTGCCTTAACAGCTGGGAAACTGCAGTCTTGACTCGGAAGTGTTTTTTTTATTGATATCAGTGATCACATTCCTGTTTATTTTTAATGTGTCTGGGTCACAGCCATAGTTAGGAATATAATGCTAGGTTATTTGATCAGAGTTTCTAATTAATGAAGTTTTTAGAATGCTCTAGATCAGGGGTGTCAAGCTCACATTGTCACGGCGGCATTACGCGATATATTGGGACTATTTCCCCCTTCACTAAACTGGGCATAGGCGTGGTCAGACTGTGATGCATCTGGCCTGCAGGCCGAGAGTTTGACAACTCTGATCTAGATTATGGGCTTCCCCCCCCTAATTAGAGAAGTCAGATTTGGTGACCTGAATGAATTCTAGGGAATTTTGAGTACTGTAAAGGTAGCATTTGATTCAAGTGGAGCTCAGTTCTTGGTGATTTTGTGGACATGTTTTTGTCATTTTTTGGACAATGATGGAGGCTTGCTTTCTTCAACAATATTTTTAAACTCCAGTCTAATCTGCAATCTGGGATTCCCTAGAGGTCTCCCAAATATTGATTAGATCCAAAACAAACTCCACTTAGCTTCTAAACCCAGAAATGATGAAGCTTCATTATCTATTTTTGCCTATGCTGGCCATAGGAGGAAAAAAATCTAGATTATTTCTGGCTACTGGTGGTATATTTGACTGCTAAACATGTCCTAGACATTACTTAACACTATAAAGTTTATATTTATAGCAATAAAAGCCAAACATTTGCTTTACAGGGAAGAAAGGGTGTACAAACTGATTTTTCTAGCTGTTATCTCCTATAGTAGATTCTGTTTATTGAAATAATTTAAACCAGCTGACCAAATTTATGCTCAGTTTATGTGCAACACCATAGTCTGAACCAAAAGTCATGTGGTGAACAAGTCTTTCTGTAAACACGTTGCGCTGTATCATGTTGAGGAAGACTGGTATAAAACCACAATAAAAAGTTGTCTAGAACTGCTTTTATATGCACATGATAAGTATGTTGTATGGCTCAAGATTCAGATTCGAGCATCTCATGTTTGGTATTTTAAGGAAGATTCTGATCTTAATGGGAGCATCTTGTCACTAGAATCAAAAGGAACTACTCAATATACTTATATCAGAAGTAAGGGACCAATGCTTCTCTGCCATAATGTTTCAGAAATAAAATTGCCACAATTTATTTAGCACAAATTCCATCTTCATAGGAATTATTGGAAAAACTAAAGGGTAAATAAAATTAAATAATTTGACCTGCAATTTTGGAAGTTAAATGATTATTGGCAGAAGATGACAATATTCTGTCAAAGTTCCCCATTAATGTTGTGCCAGTAGCAGGGTTAAGTATTCAGTTCCATGTTGAATCTATGACCTTGCCATCATTCCACAGATAAACTTGCTTTTCAATATGTGCTTTTCAAGAAGTGTTGCTCCAGAAAACTGGGAGAATTGAAGAAAGTACCTGAGTAGTGATCCTTTTGTTCTAATTCCATGTAGCAGGACATGATGATGCTGAGCTCAATCAAATAGAAAATTGCTTCAAACTTGGCTGAAGGAATAGCGATCTTAAGAGATGCTTCTAGATATCTAGACTTCTATAATTGGTTCTGATTGTTGACTCAGATCTCTCTAGGTAATTTTAGCTTGCTTCTCATTTCATTTTTATTCCATGGGTTTGTGTATCCCAGTTGGATGATGGTTCCTGGAATCTAGCAAAAGTATATTTGTATTTGGTTCATCCAGTCTTATTACTTCAAGCAGGCTGAGGCCATTATGCTCTTCCAGTAAGTGGTGTCTTTGTGGCTAATACTTTTTGGTCAACCTTGTACAATTGGTTCATTAATGTGTTCAGATTGAGCACTGCCATGTTTTGGGTAGTTGAATCCGGCTTTTATTCTAGTTTTGGCTTTTTTTAGCATCTTTTTAAATATGCACATTTATACCCTTGAAATTGCATAGTTGCATTTTCCCTTCTGCCTCACTGGTGTAAATGCTGTAAAATGTTTGCATGGCACAAACTCTTCTGTTTTGGCTTTTTCTTCCACAAGCTTCTGGTCTACAGAACAATTGGCAGAGACCCATGTTTTACCATTGTCCCAATTCGCTGAAGGTGACCTAGTAGTAGGAATTATTTAGCCTCATGAGAGCAATATAGGATGGCATCTTACACATGGCTCATGGTTATAACTAACATCTCAGATCTTGTTTTCTGTGGTACTGTTCTATGAGTAACACGCTTGTGCGTGAAGTCTTAATAACAGCTTTTATGCAATAAAGCAAACTTAAAGAAGTTTTGTAGAATACGTTGTATCCAAATTTTTTACAATCTACAGGATTTATACCAAACTCTGATCTGGCAATGTTTTGCCCAGCTACTTTAGGACTTAATATGCATGCCTTGATGGAAAGCAATTGCTGTTCTTGCAGTATTTTGGAGAAAACGGCTTCTTTTCCAGAGAAAAAGTCTACTTGTCTCCCAACACTAATGCATTTTTCTCTCTCTCTTTAAATTCCTGCTTCCTACCCATTCTTAGTTCTAATGTTTATACTTGACTTTTTATTTCCATTAGAACACAATCCAGCAAACTCTGCTTTGCAGCTTCTGTTAATTTCAACCTGTTTTGACCTGATGACACAGCTAGGGATGGTGTAGTCACTGGGTTTGATGAATTTTGCTTATTAAACCAGCTGAGTACTTGTGATATAACAGGATCTGAGGTCATCATATCAGTATCAATGGATTTAAAAATATCCTTATTGTTTTATTTAATTGATCCACTAAGTTCACTTGAACTTAGCAGTATGCTGCTTTTGTATTCCACCCAATCATAATAACACTCATTATTTCTTATTTATTGGCAAGCAAACATTTTTTGTGTCGGCTACAGTGAATCTGCTCACCATTAATTAAACAAATTGTTCCTATTTTTTATGCAAAAATGAAATTAATCAGAGAAGGTCAAAATTGTAAAAGAGAATGCAAGTGATAGCATATCTTTCTTGGTTTTTTTTTTAACATAGACTTATAATGTTTACATCTTTTTCTTTGCCACAGATCTGGATTTGAAAAATATTTTTTCCCTACTGATTTTTAAAATCCTGATTTTTTTTCTTTTTCAAATAAAAATAGTTAGACATGGTAAGAGTTAATAATTTCTCCCCTTCCCTTTGTATAATTTTTCAATGAATTGTCTTGGTGCTTCATTTTGGTTCTCGTTGTTCTGTTCAAATCTGTATGAATATCTGTTCTGTTTAGAAATGGTTTACTAGTCTCAATTTCATGTTTTTTTCATTCATGAGAATTATTATTTTCAGGGGGCGGGGGGGAGAATGAGGTGTTCATTAAGCCATAAGTATCTATCTGTGCAATAAACACTAGGCAAGTGCTTTCAGAAAAGGTTGGTATCTCAGTCATAATGCGCTTCGCAGGCAAAAGTTTCCAGGGCTTTTCTAAGTAGGACTGCCTCAATTGCTGAATGAAACAGACTTGATAACTCACTTTCTGTTTCTTCCAAAAAATCAGTGGTTCCTATGATCACATTCAACATTCCAATTAGGTGGCATTTTTGCATATCAGTATAATCCTAGGGTATGTTTTATTCCAATTCATTAAAAATCCATTCTGCAGGCAAAAAGATCTAAAATGGGCAAGTAGAATATGATTTAATTCCCACAGAAAGAGTAAAAATGACGCTCTTTCGTTACATCCATTGGTTTGCATGAATTGGGTTTTTTTTTTAAATTTGACAACAAAGAATGTTGATGTGATTCCATATCCAGGTGATGGAATAGATTGTCTAACGCTGTTCTTGGCGTAAACAAATGGGAAGAATATCATAGCAAAAAAAGGGTGGGGGGGAGGGGAATCTGCAAGAACACCAAATTGTACATGTATATGCATATTTTCTAATTATAGAAAACAAAGCCAGAAGAACTGAAGAAAGTAAGTGCTTTTATATCTTTCTCTGCAAATCTCATGAGATTAACAAGGACTATAAAGATTAGGAGATTTTTTTGGCAGGGGGAGAAGCTCCAAACTTATGTAAGGGGGAGAGGGGATTCTCATATAAAAATGTACAGAGAAATGGTTTCTAAAAATGAACTTTCAGTCTTCTTCAAATTATAAGATAGAACAAGAGCATTCTCTCTCAGTAAAAGACTGTTTTTCTGTCTTAAAATGGTTCTGTTTCTTTCCCACTCTTGAATTTTAATACTGTTCTGATTCTTTTGTGGCTGTTTTGATGTAGGAAAACCAGAATTATGTGTTGAAAATAGACATTTGGTCTGTCTCAGTGAGCAGATAAATGTTGTGCATGTGTATAGATTCTACTGTGTAGTCCCATTAAATATTGGTAAGAAAAAGTGCATCTTCATTAGCACAGTAAATTGATGGTATAAAACGAAAGAATACTTTAGGATCAAAGGGCCCGATTCTCTCTTTATTTGACTGTGATCTTAAATGCATTCATTCACCTTAGATGTACGTACACCAGTGTTAAAATCAGTAGAGGAAATTGTTTCAGTGATTTTATTTTTCCCCATCATATATACAAATCCATAGGGATCTTTATTTTTTTCTTTCCACACATTCAGTTTTGCATTTCCTTTTCCCCGACACGGGGTGAAATAAGTTTGGATAGGAGTGATTTAAATTGGGAGCCCTTTTCTGAATGTCTGTGTAAAAGAGCTCTCATTGGTAGAGAAGCTTTCCAGGGAGGTCATCTTATTCCTTTTCTTGTAATGCAGGCCTACAATATTTGCACTAAAATTAACAAAAATAATGGTATGGAGGTGATTGAAAGAAAGGTTGCTGCTATGAAAGAAAAAACTTAAAAGAATGGCCATGCTTTTACAGATTTTAATGTACCATTTTGTAAAATGAAAGCGGTCTAGATGGAAAAGAATGAAGGTTTTATATGTATGTGTGTGTATAAAATTATAATTATTATTTTTTACTTTCTCTTACTGTTCATTTCCACATCCCACTTGATTCTATTCTGTGTTCTTTCATTGCTACTTTTGTGATTGTGTTCATTAACCCCATCCCCAAGTTTAAACACTTGTAAATGATGCTTTCATGGCACTGCGGACACCTTTTTTTGTTTGTACAGTGAGATCTAACTGGAGTTCTTCTCTCTCTTCAGTTGAATTCATTAAAAGAAATTATTTGTTATGACCAACTGAATGTTTACATTTTCCTTTTCTCAAGAATGGCGAATGTTGCCAGTTGCTTCTTGGCGTGATGATTCAGAGGCCAGCTTTCATCAAAAGGAGTCTCTGAAATTCAAGACTTGGGATGATTTGGGAGGTGCTAAGGACACATGATGTTATGTATGAAAACTTCTGACCAATATCTCTCCCTTTCTGTGCAGAACAAAGGAGAGTATTTTTTTAAAAGCTACTGGCCTCATAATATTTATCTGCATAATGGAATCCCCACAATTATAAATGTGGCTCATGGTGAAAATTTTGGGTGCTCTTTACAAGTCTGTTTGAATATCCAACATTCTCTCCTAAATAGACAACCTTGCATTTTTTTTGAACGGCTGTGCAGGAATAAGACAAGGAACAAGGGTCCATTTTCTTACCAAAAAAACAAGGGACTTTTTTCTGCTGCACAGTTTTTAAAGATAATAGAATCAAGGCCAAAAATGATAGTTCCTCTCAATTCCAGGATTGAACACTTAAGTTCATGCACATTCACACATACACACATCCATGACATTTGGAAGAATGCAGGATTATTTTAAAAAAAAGCTTGGACAGCTGGGAATAAAGTTGTCATCTTACACAAATCATTTCTGTGACTCCTGGTTATCTGCTTTTTTTTTTTCAGAAATATGATTTATTTTTAGAGCATAGAGACAATTACTGCTCATTCTAGATGAAGCACATTTGCTGAAATCCTTTCTCTGCAGTTTTTAAAGATTATCTGAATAGATGGATGCCATATGAGATTTTTAAAAAAGTCAATGGATGACTTGTAGGATCCAATATGTACATTTGCACAACATTCCTTCAGAGGTTACTGCTGTGCCTAATGGTTGGAAGCTGCAAGATTGTCGGTGTACAGTAGTGTATGTAGAAAATCTAATAATATGGCAATAACATTTCTTACTCTAAAAGGTGTTTTTATGTTTCCTTTTCATCACCTCCTGCCTTCCCCAACAGTTATCTAATTGTCATTTGGGGAGGAAAAATGAAGGCCAGCCATAGCCCGATGAGCAGCATTGCAGTAATTATTTTCATCTATTAGCATTCTTCATGACAATTAAGCAAAGCTGGTAGGTAGCATTGCCAGGTATCCAGCCCAATTTCCTTGTGGCTTTAAGAAATCTTAGATGTTATGGCCCTTTCCCTACTTCCTAACAATTGTGAATGAATAGAGGGGGTAAGGCTAACTAACTCAATTTAACTTTAGCTTAATTTTGCTGGGTCCTTTATGTCTTCATCTGAACCTGTTGATAGTGGGTACCAGCAGGGGTGGGATGCAGGTGAACCCTTAGCTCCGAAGATCAGCTGGGAGTGAACCAATTCGCTATGATGATCATGTGGGCCCGCCCGGCTGCCCCCCATTGTACTGACCTTTATCGTCCCAGCTGATCAGCGCGGAAGAGCAGATTGCCGCTCCTCAGCTGTGTTACTCCCCCAAAGTAACATACAGGTAAGGATTTTTGCATTGCTATTCACGCGCTCGCAAAGCGCACAATCACCAAACCGGTTGTTATACCGGCAGCATCCCATCCCTGGGTACCAGCAGATGAATGAAAAGCCCATCAGCATTACCGTGTTAAGGGCCCTGTGGAGAAATGAAATTACATCTTTCCAAATCCTGTTTATTCAAAGGAAAGCTTGGGCCCTGGTAATGACTCTTGGGAAACTCACTTTTGATGCTAAGTGCTGCTGCTGTGCCTGGTAAATGACATTAGAAGCAGGAGCAGCTTCTCTTGTTGCTGCTAAAGTTTTAAAATGCAATAAGCACTTTGGTCCTATTAAAAATGCTTCTCAAAACTCCTTCAGGCATCCTGGTGCCTTGTACATGCTGTATTCTGTTCCGGCCTCATTGCAGATAAAGCATAAATTGATGCCATTTCTAGTCCAATTGTTTTTGACCATTTTGGTAATACAGGACACAAAACTTTCTATATACTTAGTGAATTGCTTGATACCAAATCGAGCAAGCTATTTATTTAATGATGCCTAGCAGAAGGATGCGCAACAACGTTTACCTGCTCTTTTTAAAAAACAACAGTGATGTTAATAAAGTGAAAGAAATCACCAAACTTAGTCATACATCCCTTGCCAAATGCAGCATTCTCAGCTACAGTAAGGATGTATTGGTTTGATTTGGGACACAAGTGCAATCAAAGTTTTATCCTGAGTATGTCCATTCTAGGCAAGCTAGAAACTATTGTTCATATATACCAACTAGAAGACATGTAATTTATAGCCCCTTGGAATTTACGGAATAAACATTCTTAGTTATTCCTGGATTCACTGATGTATACTAAGATGTATACTTAGAAATCATATTTGTCCACAATGTCCTTTTCAAGTAGTATCAAATTATTTTTCTTTAAAATTTATAAAATTTATCTGCACAATTCCTCCCTAAGTTGTTTTTTAGCTTCAACACACAGCCTCGCAAACTGGCATCTCAGCACAGTTGCTATAATTTGAATCTGAAGGTTGAAATTATGTGGCAGTACATACTTCATGTTGAGTTCAACGTCCTTTCTCTGGGAAACAGTTAATCCACCACATTTTTCCTTCTCACATGAATTTTTGCTATTTTGGTGCTTGCTTTTCTTCTTCTTGTTAAACCCCCAAATAAATATGATAATAGCTTTCTCTTTAGCAGTTTGCTTTTGGAAACTGTTTATATTTATACTATTAATATGAGATGTCCACATTAAGGATAAAATGATTCTATAGTTCCTGTTTGAATGATGATTTTCAGTGTCTAGAACTAAGAATTTGATGAAAAAACATCTGAATATCTTTTAAACTATTTACACAAAACCTAATTTTTTAAAAGAGACTTGTAACTTAAAACCTGGTATAGAAGATAAAAATAGGGCCAACCAAACTGTACCATGCACCCTACAACGTTTCAAGATGTTTTGAATTTTAGGGTTTAGGGTTTTTTTTTTCTTAAAAGATGAATATTTAGTACACATTTTTAAAAGTTTTTAAAAACCAACACATTAGACCAATATTTTTTATGAAGATCTTATTACTTTATTTGTAGAATTGAATGTTTGAATAATTCCTTGGATGATGTCAGCTCCTGCTTGTGTGTTGAAGCTTCTCAATTATTATATCTAACATGTTACTGTAATTAATTGTCCCAGTTAGAAAGGCTTGATATAATTCTAATATAACTAGTAAAAATGGTCTTCATTTTTTGTGAGATGGAATAATCGTGGGCCATTTCCCAATCATTTTACTAAATATTAAAAATTCAGTAAACAGTTAAGACAATATCTCAAAATTTGCTTTCAACACCTGTACAATTTATCACACCAATTGGTTATTAGTGAATCAAATATTTGAGATCATTTTGAACATTGCTTGGCAATGTTCAGCAGTTCACTGTGTCAGCTGCTCCCTCAATTAACTAGTTTACCCCTTGCAAAGGATAACAAGGATTAGGTGATTTCTTAGTCTCCCTTTAAAGGACACCTGGAAGCAATCAAGGTGCTCCGCTACTGCAGTTGGAGTCAGAAACTCAGCTTCCATGTCCTTTCTGCCCATTTGCCATAATTCAAACAATTTAGAGAGAGAGAGAGACAGAGAGAGACAATGAGAGACAGAGAGAGAGAGAGAAAGATGGAATGTCTTGAAAGCAAACAATTTTTCAGGGCTTTTCCAGCCTGATGTTTCTCCTTTGGGAGTAAGAGAAGAGAGCTAATAACTCTGTTTATACAACACAGTTGTTCAACAAATTGGGAAAGAGTTTCAGGGTCAGCACTATTTAGGCTCTGAGATATCGAATAAGTATTGTGGGAAAATGCACGTAAGGCATGCCAAAATCTCTCAGTTTCAGGTTCTTTAGCTGTTGGTAACTAAAACTAATCTATGTCAAGTCACTGGCATTAACTGGCTGGTTTATGGTGCTCATTCACTAATGCCCTGCTCCAGTTAAGAGTGTCCTAAAAACAAGTCATGGTCAACATTAGTAATTGCTACAAAACATTACATAGGGACAACATTCTAGAGCACAGAGTTTAAAAAGGAAAAAAAACAAAGGTGGTGCTTGTCAGCAGGATCACTCCAGCTATAGTTTTCACTCTTGAAAATAGGGCAACAGCCATGGAAGCTCCACACCCATTTGGCCTGATTTCCTGTTTTGAAAGGTACCCAAGTCTCCTCCCTCAAAGTGGATATATTAAAAAACCTATAATAGATGCCTTCTCTCTTGCAATCCTTTTATAACAAGTTAGAGTAAATTAATGTGGAAACACAATTTAGAATGATCATTTCTTTTGCTCAGTTATGAGTGTAACATATATAGCTATGAAAATATGTGTGTGTGTGTGTATTTACTGAATATCAGCATATACATATATATATAGATATATACACAGAGAGAGAGAGAGAGAGATTCAGTAGATGCAGTAGCTCAGCAGGTAGTTCTTGACTTATGACCACAATTGAGTCCAAACTTCTGTTGCTAAGCGAGACAGTTGTTAAGTGAGTTTTACAAACTTGCTTGCCACAGTTATTAAGTGAATTACACCAATTGTTAAGTTAGTGAAACGGTTAAGTAAATCTGCTCCCTGCCATTGACTTTGGTTGTCAGATGGTTGCAAAAGGTGATCACGACCCCAGGACTCTGCGACCTTCAAAAATAAATGTCAGTTGCCAAACACCCAAATTTTGATCATGTGACCCACATGCCCCTGTGACTTTGAAGGTGACTAAAGGAATAGTTGTAAGTCGAGGGCTGCCTGTATGTTATCTGGATGAAGTCACCAGGCTATACTCAAGGGTGGCTACTATTTGGCTCTACCTCTCTGTAGGACTGGCAGAAATACCTTGATTAAATTTAAGC